CTTAGCCCCAATCCAACCCGTTCTGCGTGCTCTGTCAGAGCCGTGGAGAGATGCGTGAAATATGTCTACTCTTCTCTTGGTCTGCCGACGACGAAGCTCAGCGAACAAGTGCAAATGAATGTCGGGCGAGCCCCAGGCCCAAATGATCTACTCCTATCTGCATGGCCCCCGCACCGGGCACCAAGTTGCGGTGCTCGCTCGCTCGGTCAAAGTGTCAACCAGCTAGGGACACGGTAGCTGCACCATATTACGATGCTCACGAGCCATAACTCCTCACGCGCCGCGGCTCCGTCCATCTCAACGTCTCGCAGGTCGCAGCAACAACAAGCAGGCACAGCACATGGCACGGCGACCCCTCAAATCAAAGTCCGATGCTGCAGGCAGGGGAAACAAACCGACCGATCTACAACAACTAAGTAGCGCGCTCGATCTGCCCATGGATGGATGGACCTCACGAGTCACGAGCAATGAATCCACCTGCCTGGCCCCCGAACCCGCAACAAAGAAGAAAGGGTCGCTCGCGTCTTCCCAAGCCCACTTTCTGGTAGCCAAGCCCTCACGTTACGCTATTGCTAGGCTGGGCTGGGTTGTTGCGTCGCATTACGAGCTCCTCACGAGCGTACGTGTGCGCGCGCCCATCGGTCGGCTCCATCTCATTTTTCTCCTCCACCCTGAACTGAACTGAGGCCAGTCGGGGCAGCAACGTGGCCCAAGCGCCCCAGATTGGCACGGCACGGTGGGTTGTTGCTGCGTCAACCACCGCATCACGAGTAATAAACCCGGCTACCATTTCTCCTTGCGTGGACGTGGATCTCACACGCATCCACGATCAGTTGTTCCACGATATGCGTGTCCTCTTCCCTTGTCGCGCGCGCACAGGCACAGTGCTGCTGCCGCTGCTACAGCTGCCTGTGCTGTGCTATGCTACGCTAGCTGCCACCCCTCTGTTGCGGCGTCATCACAAGTTCAGAACAGGAGGGCAGCAGTCGGCAGAGCCAACGGGGAAAGGTGGCACGGGAAACTACTCGTCACTGCCACAGTGCACGCCTCTTTCCCCCCTTTGGATCTATCCAGCCTCGTCGCCACTCCCTCTAATAAAAATTTGTAACAGGAGTTTAATATTTGGCCTCTGCCACTGTGATTCCAACGTAAGATTTAGAAGTTCAGAACTACTATTACCACTACGCTGCGGTGCTGTAGAAAGCAACACCTGTCTTATTGCCTGTCCCGTCCTGGGTGTAGTTTAGTTTAATTTAGCTTAGGCTCATCATCGCCACTCGCCAGTATCTCTCTCTCGGAGGCAGACTCGGGACGGGAGAAGAGGATCGGAGCAGCTGCTAATGACAACAGTTGCCACCTTTGTCGGTTGCAGGGAGGATGGATCGACGAAGGCACCAGGCGGCACTCTGACGGAGGCATTAGGAACGAGAAGCGATGGAATCATACGTACTGCTACCTCGGTGGCGTGATAGATGCTAGCTTTTGGTGCTTGGACGCGCTCGCCCGTGCGTTGCGTCCGGCCTAGACATGTCCCTGTCGCTGACTGACTGCAAACCAACGATATACGCTACGCGCGGAGACGGGTGCGTCCAAGGCGGTGGAGCCAGACGGCGTCTTTGCTCCATGGACCGACCGGCCTCGGCCCATCCATCCATGGAACGCCGTGGCAAACGACAAGGCGCGCGCCTGCCTGCCTGTCCGCCCGTGCGCGGCCGCCCCGACCTCCTCAGATCGATCGATCGATCGATCTGTCCTCCACCTCGCGCGAGCCGGCCACCGCCGCGCAATCCATTTCCTTCGTCTACGTGCGCGGGCGGGGCACCAAAATCCGACTTCTGCCCGTTGCCGCGCGCCACCACCACGCACGGTGCATGGCAGCAAGCGGTTCAATTTCCGGACCATGCATGGTGAACGACGGAGGTGAGTCTCCAAATGACATGATGTCTCAGTCTCTCAAAAATGCTCGTAGAATGCGTTTATAGTATATGAGCATATGCGTGTGTACTGTGTTGTAGAATGCGTCTTTCTTAAACACGGTACATTAACAGAGGTAAGATTCCGACATGCATGTACTCAAAACATTCCCGCAAAATAAAGTTGCATGTAAACACATTGTTAATCTGGCTGACAATTTGGAGTCACCAGCGCCCGTGCGCAAGGAAAAGTCGCGGAGAGGGAGATCTATCGACCGATCGACGCATGTTGTAACCCGGCCGCCTTGTTCGTTTCCCTCTCTTGTACCCATTGCTCGATGGCGATCGATCGAGAGAATCCTAGGGCCAAGATAAAAACAAGCAATTTTCCTTCCTGTTTTCATTTTGGATCGGTCGAAGGAGATAGAAAATAAGAATCCTATGGCGCAACGGATTAATCAAACGCGCACGTTAAAACACTATAGCTCCGCGGCAGCTGGGCGACTAATTTGGCGCCAGATTGATTGGTTCTTTAACCCGCAAAAGAACGAAAAAAATGGCGCCAGATCTACGCGTCACGCTCGATGTTTCATCCACACTTTCAAATCGGTCCAAACCAACTGCCGCCTTGCAACACAAAACTAGTTTTAAAACTATACATATGCACCGATGATCGTGTGCGTCACATCGATCGTTAACCAATATATGAATTACGGGTCTGCACTCTGCAGGGCAGCAAGTGATGTTCTTGTTCTCCTGTCAGACAGCAAAAACTTCGATTAGCATTTTTTACGCTTATCATTTCTGGAGGCGTCGATCTCGATCACATGATGGTGATAAGACAATGTGCGAAGAAGATTACGCCGGGACAAAACGTACAGAACGGCCATCTCTTGCGATCATGCGTGCTGCTGTGAGCATGTGCACATATACCGCCCAAGAAAAAATCGGACGGATTTTCTTGGGATCCGATGGCTCTAATTAACTCTTTTCACCTCGCACGAAATCACATCATATTTGATGTGAAGATGTCATTTTAGTAGGGAGAGTGCCCCTGAGTCCATGCAAGTGACTGTAACTTGGTTAGAAACTTATGTAATTAACATGTGCTTGGATGGATACGAGACAGTGGTATCACAACCTATCAGGGTTAAGCTCTAGACTTGACATTTGATGTGGTTCTGAATTTATTTCGGTTCTTCTGACGATGTGCGTTTAATGAGAGAAAACGTTTTCGTTAACTACGAAGGTGTCTGTGGTGACTTCGTTAATCTTAAAATAATGTGTCGTTTTAGTCTTCCAGAGACGCTCATAGGATAGGGTGTGCGTGTTTGCGTTCGAACAAATGAATCATATGTGTATGTATGAGCGTCTATGTCTGTAACCTGCTAAAAAAAACTAATTAACCTGCCGATGTGTGTAGATTGGCGAGGTATAGTAGTTTATATTTTTCTTGTCCTTTTTTTTAACTTTGACATTTCCACTGCTTTATTTAAGAAACAATTACCACTACTCGCCACGTCTCTCTGCACGTGAGCTGTGTCTTTCTCCTATCCGTTATACGTACGTAGTGAGAATCTGAGATTGTCCGTAGATTGCCAATTTTAATGCTATAATAACCTCTCCTGATCTAGCCTGCAAATCAACCAAAATGTAGTTCCATGTCTGAGCAAATTGACCTGAAATTTAACGCGTCTCCTTTTTTTTTGGATAAAAATTTGACCTGTTAATTAAATTCCACAGAGGACCTCGCAAGTCTCTCTCCTGAAATACTCGCTAGACAAAACACAAAAAGGTTTTAGGTACTGTGGCAAAATTTAAGGTTCTTGCTCTAGGAAATAGTAAAATTCAATTCTGTTTGGTTCAGTTGGGGTAGGTTCTTTCTAATGTTTACATGGACCCACGGTGCAGAGACCCTACTAGGTATGATGCGAGGCCACCCCCACCCTTTGCTTTGCCTGTAAAAAGCAGCAGTTGGCAACTGGCATGGCTGCAGCCTCGACTCCTTGACCCAACAGCCCCCTCCCAGGGGCACTGTCCTCCCCTCCTTGTATGAAAAAAAGAAGCTGCAGGCGCCAATAAGTTTTCATCGCAGGCTTTTTACCGGCTCTTTTAGGTGAATTTATTGAACACTCATTCAATCAATCATGCTGCCCTACCACCTTCATTCACACACACACAAAAAAAAAGTTTAGTGAAAGTGAGATTAGCACTCAAATCATACAGCTGCAAAGCCTGCATACTGATGTTAAAAGATAATGTGGTGATGAGTTCCAGAAGAAAGAATAATCACTTTGGGACTGCCATGAGCCATGCTGGTTAAGAAGAGCACATGAACCCTACCTGTTCTATATTTAAATGGCTTTATGTGAGGCTCCAAAGTGCTCCTAAAGAGGAAAATGTCTAGATCTCATAGTCCCATGAGGTAGGTATGCTTGAATCTTGCAATCTGTTTGATTGGAGAAAATGGGATAAACAACTCCACCAGAAAAACAAAACACAGACATGGCCATGGAAATGGCATGATTCCACCATTAGTTTATGAGCTAAACCACACTTGATTAACATATTTACCATACTACTAATGGAAAAATGGGGAGCGCAGTAAGAGGAATGCATTGATGAATCAGCAGCAGCACTGCCCTTTTGAGCACTGGAATGCAATGCAGGCAACAAAAAACTGAAACAAGAACACACTTGTAAAGAAACAAAACGAAAATCCATTTTTGTTGATTTTCTCATATCTTCAGTCTCTCATATCCACAAAGATATCATCAAAAAGCCCTCGGAGAAGGGAAAGGGGAAATAAATAAGAAATACCTAAAATGAAGAAGGGGAGACAAAATTGTATAGAGGAAGAAGACTCTCCCTCCTCCCATCAGCACACACCCTCCTCTCTTCTTTCAGAGTTCAAGAAGCTTATTGTTGCTGCCCATAATCCTCTAACCGCCACAATGCTCGATAATTACTGTTGCACCACAACTTCGTTTCCATGATGATCGATGGACGGGCTTTCGGGGTAAGAAAGATCGACGATAACTCAATGAACAAGCCGAGAGCAGCACCAAGCTATATATGTACAGCGCATCAGATCGGCGATGCGCTTAGCCTTCTCCTCTTGGAAGCTGGAGTGGAGGCCTGATCGTTGCTGCTACTGTTGTTGTTCGAGGGTGATGACCCTGGTGCTGTGTCATCATTCCTGAAGCTGAAGCATGGCACATCCAGCACCCCGATCGGGCTCAGCGGCGCTGAAAGGCTCGCGTTGAAGTTACCTCTCTTCTTCACCAACAGCGCGTAGCATCCCGCAATCATCTCCTGTAGATGTGATCACATTTCAGAAACAGTGCAATTGCAATGGTGCATCGGTTTGAGTTTTCCATAACTTGAGAAGATAATCACCTTATTAACAGGGATTTCAGATGCTGCAAGGGCACTGCTGAAGCCGATGACCTGATTCTCAACAAGCCCCCATAAAACCACTGCGGCAGCGATCTCAGAAGGTCTGAATGATAAGAATCTATAGTCTGTAAATGCACATCACAGGAATGCTGTAGTTAGTAAATCATCACCAGATATTGCCATTGGCAATGTAGGTAAAACTTTTGGTTAATTCATCGTAGCCGAACCTTTCACAGTGGCGACTATGAGCTCGGCACACCGTGACACCAGCATGTAACTCGGTGGCTTTCCTTCATTGAACTTGTCCAAGAAGTAGCACAGGAAAGAGAATGGGGTCACAGAGTGCATCCTCCATTTCAGGGTCTCCATCACAATGAGCTCCATCCTCTTGATGTTCCTTGGTTCAAACGCATAGTACTCATCGCAAACCTGTCGTACATTCATCCAATTTTAGCAAAATTTATCAAGGGATCATCAAACAATTATCGATTTTACAATGTTGTAACTTCTCCTTCACCTGAAGGTCCACAGGAAGAGGGGCCACGGTCTCCTCCATCTTGACAGCAAGAGATAGGCAGGCAACTGACATCAACTGTTGCATCCAAGACTTGTCATGCTACAACATCAACAAACAAACAAAAACAAGAAACGCAATGGTCAGTAACAGATCGATTTACACAGTTGTTAGCAATGCAGAAGTTGAGATTCTTACTGGGAGATCAAACGAGGAGAGGAACCTATCCATGTAGTTCACCGAGAGGCAGAGGGTCAGTGGTCCAAAATTGTAGTAGGAATGGACCTGCAGCCCACATGAGAGAAGACACAGGATGAGCAATGGACAGGTTCCACTTAAAACAAGTTTGTCCGGATCGAGGAAAGGGGGAAGCAGCTGGCTCATTGCTATCTGGTGATGGTGATCGAATTGGCCAAAACTGGATGGTGATGGTGATCGAAAGCCACAAGATGCAAGGACGCACGGCCAAAACTGGATTTACACAAGAGTCAAACGCACAGTGCGGGCATGCAACAACCTACCTAGAACCAATTAACCCATCACGGAAAAGGAAACTGATTGCGAGGAGCAATAAATCCTAGAGATTTTTCCTTTTTGTTTCTCACCGTACCTTGCAAATCCAATCCATGGCGTCCTTCCTCCAGGAGGACTCGAATCCCCCGTGCCCCAGCCGCTCCACGTAGCCGCCCTTGGGCCGATGATCCATCTCCTTCTCCACCAGCGCCCGCATGACCTCGTCGCTGTCCACCGGGAAGACGGCGCCGACGTCCAGGAAGCCCAGGCCGCCGCCCGCCCCCGCCACCTCGCCGTCGCCGCCGCCGCCGCAGCCGCCCAGGCCGAGGACGCTGTTGCTGTCCTCGCCGCAGAGAAGGGTGGAGGAGGCGCCGAAGCAGAGGATGCCCATCTCAAGATCGCCTGGGAAAC